TGAATTTTAAAAATGAATTCCAATTTTGGCAAAAAATTAAAGTAAATGAGGTCGTCTCAGCAAGTCCTCCATTAAACATGTTCCTGCTCACCAGGGGGGTGGAAAAAATAATCTACACATAAAAAAAACTATCAGATGCCTCTGAATAAGAAATCCAGAGATAGAGGAGTCCAGGGTTGGACCAGAAACTCAAACAGGGTAAGATCCTCATAAACACAAAATGGCTACCAGGGCTCCAAACACTGTGCCCTTACATAACAGCATCCAAAGTACTTCCTGCATGGAAGAGAAGGATGGGGAAAGATGACTTTTTCTCCTAAGCCAGTTTCTTGTCAGGAAGGAAAATCTTTCCCAGAAGCCCCCTCTCCCTTCCACCTCGATGGCCAGAACTGACTTAATCACAGACCCTTAAATCACACATTGACACAAGAGAGGTGCCACCACTGACTTACATCAAGCGTGATATATTCCCCCATGACTGGGCCCAAAAAAAGTTGGCAAGAAACAAGATAAAGGTAAGCACCGAGTGAAGCATTCAGAGAGATTTCTTCTGTACAAGTAGTTTAAGCCAAATATTTGCTTCAAATTCGGAGGAGTCACAATCGGAAGGGGGTAGGATGGGGAATCCTACACTCAAATACCCTAACATGAACCGAGCAGGAAATGTGAATGAAGGAGGCCGGCTGGGTGGGAACTGCAGAGCTCTGAAGAGTGTGTGGCCCATCCAAGGCCTCCAGTTCTTGATCTTATCATTTCAAATAGCAGCAAACTACAGTAAAGCTTAAAAGTAAACAGAGAGTCTTTCTCTAACTTTCACACACAAATACAGAAAAAAAAAAACTAGCTTCTGACTTGCATAACAGAAATTATGACACCTTAACCTCTGACTATGTGTCAGGTACTATTTACAGTGCTGTAAGCATCTTACCACATTTCATTTTTTAAAATAAAATCTTATGCATTCGGCACCATCACTGTCCTCACTTTTACAACTGAGGGAACCAAGCCTTAAAATGAAAGCAATTTCCCACAACTACATAACTAGTAGGTGGAACAGCAGAGGCGAGTGAGCTCAGGACTCCAANTTATGTTCAGAGCCTCATTCATGGTCAAGAAAGCCTAGTGCCTTCAAAAACAACTACCTGATTCGGCCTCAGCTTTCTCGTATGTCATTCCCCACTCTGTCTAAGATAGCCATCTAAAGTCTATCAATTCATTTAAAATATATTCTTTAGTTCAATGGCTCTACAAAGCTTTCTTAGATTTATTCAACACTGCGCTACCCCATACTGGGCTTGAAAGAAATTATCTCAACTTTTTTCCCTTCTAACCCAGCAAGACACCAGTATTATTCAGAATAATAAATACCAACTGGCTGTTCCTTGGCTTAAGTGAAATTCATTCTTTCTTTCCAAGACAGTGACCAACCATCAGGGATTCAAAGAACCTGCCATCTGGAACTGAGTCACCTTGCAACCCCTGATGCAGGTATTAAAGACCTCTCAGTCCTTCCAGCTTCAGAATCCTCTAGGGACAGCAACACTGGTTGCATCAGTGTACATAGGACACAGCCCACAAGGGGTAATCAAAGTTCTTCTTCTAAGACAAGGATGGAGGAGGGAGAGGTAAGGGGGAAAATACCTACGTAAAAGAAAAAGAAAAAAAAAGTCCCTGTTTTCTCTCTCTTGAACTATGTTTCATGCACATCAATGGATGGCTTGTTACTGGCCCCCTAAACGACTGAACAAGAGCTACAAAGGAAATGCCTCAATCTGTTGCTTATTTGCCTTAGTCTAAAATGGAAAAGTAAACAAAATAACATTCCATGACCTTTGTTGTCTAATATAAAGTCTAATAAGTTGCTCTCAGCTACTTTAAACAAAGTTGCAATCACTCATTATACAACAAAGCCTCTAACTGCTTTAAAATCTTTGGCTCACTAAGAAGCGTGTAAAACAGATGTAATATTAAAGTCTCTAATTATGAATGATAATTCCCCGATAAGACTCCTCAGCAGTGCCAACAATTAATTGACTAACGTGAATTTTAAAAATGAATTCCAATTTTGGCAAAAAATTAAAGTAAATGAGGTCGTCTCAGCAAGTCCTCCATTAAACATGTTCCTGCTCACCAGGGGGGTGGAAAAAATAATCTACACATAAAAAAA